CTTCAATCTTTTTTAATTTATTTTGAAAATCTGTTTTAATTTATCTTTGTAATTAAGTGGCATTTGTCATTGATGCTCCTACAGTTAGGTAGGTGTTTTTAAAATGTCATTAATTGTCATTAAGAAATATCCATTGTATCTAAGATTCAAAGAGCAGGATATCTAAATATTCCATGTGCTTGGAGTTTGTGTGTTCAGTTAATCAGTGCTAAATACACAATGCTGAATCTGTCATATGCTAGTAGTGAGCTCCATTCAGTTCAGTAAAAGTGTATTACATAAAGGTATGCTAATTTACTTTCACCAGAAATTAATGAGTCTCTACCAAACCTATTCTTCCTGAGGTGTGTATAGTAGTTCTGATATTAAAAATTTTTTTAAAAAGTAAGATAATGAATTCTCTGTAGGTGATTAATTATCCCAAAAATGACACTGAATGCCAGTATCCGGGAAGTTGCGCTATGTGACATATGCTAGGTCTGTAGAACAGACAGAATGTACCCTTTTCTTTCAGGGCCTCAAAGACTAAACAAATAATGCTTTAAAAAGAAGAGACCATAGCATGTTTCCCAGTCCTATGTCATTGATGTTTGTAGAATTTTATAGCTAAATTTAGAGCAAAAGGAAGAATTTTTAGAGATCTTCTTTTCCAAGTCCCTCATTCTATAGATAAGGCAATTGAAGACCAAAGGAGTTAAGTCACTTAGATTTTCACTTCCTGAAACTAGGAAGTAGACATCCTGACTACCTCAAGCCGTGCTAATTCCATTGCCTTCCAGAGAGGCCAAAAATTCTCACTCTGTGACTCATGGAGCATTTTCCTTAACTTTTTTTAAAAATTATTTTTATTGATTCTTAGAGAGGGAGGGAGGGAAAGAGAGAGACATCTGTGTGAGAGCATAACACTCTCCAGGTCCTTTATGCTATTGCAAAGGTAAGACTTCTTATTTTGCAGTCAAGTAGTAATCTATTGTGTAAATGTACCACAGCTTTTTTTTTATCTACTCATCTACTAATGGGTACTGGGCTGCTTCCAAATCCTGGTTATTGTAAATAACATTGCAATGAACATCGGGGTGCAAAAATTCACATTTAATTTAGATTGTAGCAAAGACTTTCTCTTTAATATCTCCTAATTCTAAAATGATTTTTAAAAGTTATTTTTGTCTATTTTGTTAGGTTATGGAAAAGCAGGACTAGCAAATGTAATAAGTGACTATCTTTGGCTGTTTGTTTATTTTAAATTAACTTTTTGGATTACCTATTGGGGAAATAGTGTTTTCCTAGGCATGTAAACTTTTATTTATATATACATGTAGAGAGAGTTTATTACCTGTGAAAATGTAACCAGAGCTTAGACATTCAATACTTATTCATTGAGTGAAGAGACAGTATTGTGTGCTCTGTTAAATAACTAAAGTTAAAGAGTAAAAGATTGTTGGATATGCTATATAACCTCTATTTCCTTACATAACTGATATTTCTCCAAGTTTTACACTAAAATTTCTTCTACTTTTAATATGCCATAATTCTTACTGGGTGCTTTCTTTCATGATCACTTTCCTAAACTTCCCAACAGTGCACATACTGTCTCATTTTATGTTTCCAAACTTGATATTTTGGAGTTTAACTAATCAAGCTTTTATTGAAGTTCAAGTCATCAAGCTTTTATTATATGCCTACTATGTGTAGTTCGTTGCACCCAGAAGCAAAGATAAGAAAACCTAGTGCTGCCCTAACCAGTTTGGCTCAGTGGATAGAGTGTCGGTCTGCGGACTGAAAGGTCCCAGGTTCGATTCCGGTCAAGGGCATGTACCTTGGTTGCAGGCACCTTCCCAGTGGGAGGTGTGCAGGAGGCAGCTGATCTATGTTTTCTCCCATCGATGTTTCTAACTCTCTCTCCCTCTCCCTTCCTTTCTGTGGAAAATCAGTAAAATATATTTAAGAAAAAAAAAAGAAAACCTAGTGCTTATATCATTTATGATCTAGTAGAATATACATAAACCAATATAGTAGTATAGTAGTAGTTTGATACATATGCAAACAACAGGAGCCCATCATTTAGGAAGCTTTTTCTAAACTGTTCCAAATCCCAAGGTTTTTTTTATTTTTGTTTTTGTTTTAATCCTCACTCAAGGTTATTTTTCCATTGATTTTTAGAGAGAGTGGAAGAGAGATGGAAAGACAGAGAGAAATATAGATGTGAGAGAAACACATCAATTTGGTTGCTTCCTGCACACCCCTGACCAGGGCGCAGGCCTGGGAGGAGCCTGCAACTGAGTTACGTGCCTTTGACCAGAATCGAACCCAGGACCCTTCAGTCCACAGGCCAACGCTCTATCCATTGAGCCAAACTGGCTAGGGCCCAAATCCCAAGTTTTTGATACACTTCTCATTGAGTGTAGGGATAGCATATTAAAATTTCCTATGGAAGATGCATAATTTTAGAAGTTAACAAGTGATTCTAATATGCTCTGCCTCCCACTATTAACCAAGATCTACTGATGAACAAGGAATAAATCATACAAGGAAGCAAATTATTGGACTGGTTCCACAGAGAAGGATTTTGAAGGAATCTTCTATCTCATATTTTTGTGGGGGTTTTATTCCATCTCATATTATACTAGAGGCCCAGTGCATGGATTTGTGCACCTGTGGGGTCCCTCGGCCTGGCCTGCAGGGATTGGGCCGAAACCAGCTCTCCAACATCCCCCGAGGGGTCCCAGATTGCGAGAGGTCGTAGACCAGGCCGAGGGACCCCACTTGTGCATGATCTGGGCCAGGGAGGGACCACAGGAGGGCTCCAGGGCATGTCTGGCCCATCTCGCCCAGTCCCGATCGGCCAGATCCCAGCAGCAAGCTAACCTACCGGTAAGGGCATCTACCCCCTCATGGTCAGTGAGCTTCCTAGCAACTGGTCAAACGGTCAAATGGTCTGAGGGACACTTAGCATATTAGGCTTATAGATAGATGATAGATAGATAGATAGATAGATAGATAGATAGATAGATAGATAGGGACTTAACAAGTGCCAGACATTATATTAAGTGATCAATGCTATGCAAGAGAATACAGTAAATGATGCGGTTATATTCTGAGGGATATTGTTATGATATCCAAATGTCCTTATGATGGGAAAATGCAGGGAGTGCAGTCCTTATTATGAGAAAATGCAGAGTCCCAAGTGTGGCCCCAAACTAGCATTAGTCAAAATATTTTTCATATGATCCAGCAATTCCACTTCTAGGTATTTATCTAGGAAAAAAAACTAATTCAAAAAGTATTTGCACTCCCATGTTTGTTGCAGCATTATTTATAATAGCCAAGACTATGGAAACAACATAAGTGTCCATATATGGATGAAAAGATAAAGAAAATATGATATGTGTACAAAATGGAACATTATTCAGCTATATAAAAGAAGGAAGTCTTGCTATTTGTGACAATATGGATGGACCTTGAGGGCATTATGCTAAGAGAAATAAGTCAGACAGAGGACGACAAATATCATATGATCTCACTTATATGTGGAACACACACACACACACACACACACACACACAACACACAACACAAAAACAAACATCCTAACTCATAGCTACAAAGAAGAGATAGGTAGTTACCAGAGGCTGGGGGTGGCAAGGCAGCAAAATGGGTGAAGGGGGCCAAAAGGTACAAACTTCCAGTTGTAGAATAAATAAGATCTGGGGATGGAATATACAGCATGGTGACTGTAGTTAATAATTCTGTATTGTATACTAGAAAGCTGCTAAGACAGATTTTAAAGGGTTCTCATCACAAGAAAAAAAATGTGTGGAACTATGCATGGTGCTGGATATTAACTAGACTTATTGTGGTGATCATTTCACAATATATATAAACACTGAATCTTTATGCTGTACAACTAAAACTACTATATTGTTATATGTCAATTATAATCTCAATTTTTAAAAAGAATTTTAAAGCTTTAAATAAAACAGCATGTGTAAGCACCTAGAATGAGGTGTGATAACTGGTAATGATATTTTGCAGATAGTATTGGTGAGGAGGAAGAAAAATATATTTGAGTTGAAAGAGAGATTTTTCCCCCAACCTAAGACTTATCAACCTCTTTTAACTGTTCCTCTTTGCCTTTCTTTCTTCAGTTTTTTTCTTTTTTCACTCTTCTCACCCCACAAGAAGCCAACTATTAAGGAAATTGTCTTTTTGACAAGCATCATTAAATGGTAATTCTGGAGAGTCAGGGGGATAATTATGGCTTCTCTCCACTGAATATAAAAGTACTCTCTTGCCTAATAACAAGGAAGAAAGCACCATCCATTTTTATTTGTAACAAGGACAAAACAGATAGTACAGACTCCATGTGAACAAAACCTGTGTCTGTACAACTTTGAATTCTGCACAATTCCTTCCTTTCATTTGTGAAACATATTGACCTTTTAGCACCTTACTTATGTAAAGTGCTGGGGATATAAAGATGAAAAAGACATTGCCCCTGGCCTTCAGGATCTTGTTCCAGAGTGGGAACAATATGTAAAATAAATAATTAAAGTACAGTGTGGAATTGCTATCATTGAAGTATGTACTAAGAGCTGTTGGCGTACAGGGGAAGGAATAATAAACTCTGCTTGAAGAAATCAGAGGAAGCCTCACAAAGAAAGTGACATTTGAACTGAGTCTTGAAAGGATGAGTAAGAGCTGGCTCTCAATTATTTGTCAGCAAATATACTTTCCTTTCTTTGCTGAACCCTTAGATTCTGTCACCTTCCTGGCAAGGTCATGCATTACTTTTTAAATGAACAATTTAATTTTTACTGATAGCCTGTGCTATTGCTGTGAAATAAAATCATGAGTAAAGTTGTAGATAGAAACCAAGACTTGAGATTGCTGGAGGGGAGGAGGGGCTTTTACTCTGTGGGCACTACGGCTGTGGGAGAACAGTGTGCATGAAGAGCAGCAGTATTTCAATGATTCGTTCTGTCATTTCTCTTCCTCTATAGCCATCAGGTTTGGGCGGATGCCACAGGCCGAGAAGGAGAAGCTGTTGGCGGAGATCTCCAGTGATATCGACCAGCTGAACCCAGAGTCTGCTGACCTCCGGGCCCTGGCAAAACATTTGTATGACTCATACATAAAGTCCTTCCCGCTGACCAAAGCAAAGGCGAGGGCCATCTTGACAGGAAAGACAACAGATAAATCAGTTAGTTCTCTTCTACCCTCTTGATTTGGGGTGGCTGGGTTTATTGTTGTTGTTGTTGTTGTTTCCTTTGAGGAAATGATTAACCATGTTACACACATACATGCAGTACTGTTCATCTGTTGGCTGTTACATATTGTAGGCTGAGTATTAAGCACAGGAAAGGAAATGTCTTCAGATAGGGTAAGTAAACATTATTTTGAAAAGGGAAAAAGTCCTTCAAATTCTCCTACTAAATTCTTTGAGAAAGTATAAAAATATGCGAGTCAGCTTAACTTTAATGTATGAACTCAAGCCCCAATTCACCCCACCACCCTCTTTCAGGATCCAACTACATTCACACAGGCCTGCTTTCCGGACCTAGCTTTTGAAAAAGTATTCAGTCTCATTATTTTACCTTTTAGGAGGCCCATTAGAGTTACCTCTTATGAAGTTCCACATTGGGCAGAAAAAGACATGCCAGATATTATATTACCTTTCTTTCCTTGTAGCACTCTATTAATAATTCCTGGATAACTAGAAGCTTTTTGCTTTTATTATGTGTATGAATTGTATCTCCTGTGAGGCTCTGAGCTGCCTGGGCTACGCCAGTGGAGAATCTAGTGAATTCTCAAACATCTGCAAGCTCATTGATTACCACTGTTTAGAAAACCCAGAATGGATTAGAATTGTTATTGAGTCAATTTTTCCAAAAAGCAGAACTCTTCCCTGATAGGAAGCTGAGAAAGCACAACATGGAATCATATTAAAACAAAATATAACTATAACTGGCCCTAGCCACTTTGGGTCAGCAGATAGAGAGTTGGCCTGTGGACTGATGGGTCCCGAGTTCAATTCCTGTCAAGGGCACATACCTCGGTTGCAGGCTTGATCCCCCGGCTCTGGTCAGGGCACATGCAGGAGGCAACCAATCGATGTGTCTCTCTCACAACAATGTTTCTGTCTGTCTCTCCCCTCCCTTCCACTTTCTCTAAAAACCAATAGTAAAATACCCTTGGGTGAGGACTAACAAAATATATATATCACTGTACCTGAATTCTAGTCCCAATTCTGCCATCAGCATACAGATCTGTACCTCAGTTTACACAGGCAGGTCTAACTTTGATTGTAATGTCTGCAGCATGTTCTTAAAGTAGTAAGCCACAGAACACATTTAGAAGATACCATCCCAGCCCTTGATAGCCCTTTTATGCTATTGTTTATTTTCAAATAAACATCTCCAAGAGAGGTATGCAATTATTTGACATATATGGGTAACTTTTTCCCTACACAGTTATATTTTTGGGAAAATTTGATTACCCTTTAATGTATTTTTATAATGATCTCAAGGTGTTTTTCTTTTCCTTTTAGCTAAACCATAAGAGAGAATTAGCTAACAGAAAAAGAAAACTCCTATGGGATATTGCTATATAAAGAGCCAAATCTGAGAAGGACAATGAGCTTTCTGACTGCAAGAACGGTCATTGATACCTTAGCAGTATTATACCTGTTTCTAGTCCTTTACAGTTTCAAAAAGTCTTTTTTTTAAGATTCTTTATTGATTGAGAGAGAGAGAGAGAGAGAGAGAGAGAAACATCGATGTGAGAATGATACATCAATCCACTGCCTCCTGCAGGGGATCAAGCCTGCAACATGAGCATGTACCTGGATCGGAAATTGAACCAGCAACCTTCCTGTGCATGGGAAGATGCCCAACCAACTGAGCTATACCCATCAGGGCTCAAAAAAAACTTACACATTCATATGTTCAAGACACATGACTATTTTATGGCTCCTATTATTACCCTCTTTTAAAAATGGGGAAATTGATGGTTAAACATTTTGCCCTGAGATTACACAGCATGTGGAAGAACCAGGACTATAATGCAGGCCTTCTGACTATTACTTCAGTACATTCTGAGCATGACATCCCTCATGGAAGCTGGTCTTTCCTATTGGCTAGCAATGAGCGGCTGACACTAGGAAAGTTTTACCTTGGGAAAACATTCTGAGCTATGACTTGTTTTTATCAATTTTTAGAACAGCAAGAATTTTCCACTCTGTTCTGTTATCCTAGTATATTCACAGTCAGGAAATTTTCCTTGTGCTGTATTGTTCTTCTGAATTATAGTGATTAGGACTGTCTTCTGCAGACTTTACAGACTGTAAGTCATAATAAAGCTAAGTTTATGTATTCATTAAATGAAAAAATTGGGGCCTAACAAGTCAAAAGCAAATGAAGACCTCTACAAAGCTGATTTGTCTATGGAAAATAAATTGTTCATTTAAAGGGAGAGAAATAAAAGGAAAGTTAGATTGATGTGGCTAAAGAGGGTTAACAATTTAAGGCAGATTACAACAGTTTGATGAGAGCATAGGATAGGGACATGGAGGCTGGGAGCCCCAGAACTGGGAAAGGAGTGACAACAGGGAAAGAGCCCTGAAACAGTTTACTCCACCATTTTGCCTCAAGCCATTTAGTTTCCAGGAACTGCTTTCTCACCTTTTCTTTATCTCTCTGTCCAGACTTGCAATCCATGCTAGAAAGCCTGGACGTACCCGGAAGCTAGGAGGAAGGCAGTTGAAGAAAGTTTCCCCCAGTAGTCAAGAATTTAGTTACTCTAACAGTGGCCAACATATTCTCCTCTGTGTTACTGAGGGGCACAGAGCCCAGTCCACTGTAACTCACTTTAAAACCTCGTACCAATTGACTCTTTGGCTCCAAATCTTTGAGTTAAAAAATAAGATAACTGCCAGCTTTTTATGAGATAAGTAGGTATTAAGCTATTTTAAGGGAAAGAGCTTCAAAATGCTTGATTATAGGCTTTTCAAGTTCAGAGGTCAAATGTTTGTCATTTTTCCCCCTATAGTAACTGTGACTGTGCTTTGCCCATAACATTTACTCAGGATGTATTTGCTTAATTAAAAACTATTGCCTATGTCCTTTGAAATTCTGGACTTTCAACAGAGGGCCTCTAACTAGCCTAATATTTGCTCACCAAACTGGACATCATTAAATGATCTGGATAGAGGCAGAATTGCCTCTTAGGGTCTGGAGAAACTGGGCCAAATTAAAATAATCCATTCCCTGATTACACAAAACTGAAATAGAATTGTTTGGCTCTCTCTTTTCTCCTTATCTTGCAAAATCAAATTAAACACTGGTGGAAAGAAATAGTTCAGAGAGGAATATGGGAGAGGGAAAAAAATCCAAAATGTGATTTCCAATGTGACTAGAGATTTGTTTTTTATCTTACATGGTCATGTTATTCATTTGATAGCATCTTTCTCAGGGGTGTTATGTTATCTCTTGGCCAAGACTTACGAAAGTTAAGATTTGAATTGATTGGAAACGTTTTGCAGAAGTATGGACTCTTGAGAGAGTGGAGGTTGTGAAAAAGTGTCTATGGCGGGTGCAGTTTGGGTCTCATTATACACCCTGCTTGAACTGATGTCACTAGTGTTGGTTAGGCCAAGTCTGGGATGGGCTGCTCAGTATACTGGATAACTAGTTACCAAGAACCTTTGGAAAAGGAAATGGCTTTATTGAAGAGGCCATTCTTTAAATTTATCTTACTGCTCAATTTAACCTTTGCTTACGCTGTCATTTATGGAAGGCCTGCTAATCTTTCCTCTCAGGCCCAGCACCAGCATTTGCCTGCAGGCTTCTCCCTTGCCAACTTAACTTCCTTCTGCTATATCTTATTCTCTGCTGCTATTTGCACCTTTCAAAACAGATAAATGGACAGATAAATTCAATGTTCTTGCTCCCCTCTTATCTTTTTAACTTTGACACCATATCTTTGGGATATTTTGTACCTTTCATTTCATGCTTAAAAAAATAATGCCTGGGAATTTTAGGCTCAGTACTAGGAAGAGATGGAATATGGAATCACTAAACATGGATCACAGGAGAATTTTAGGAGCAATGAGCCTTTGAGCCTCCCTCAAATAGGAATGGCACTGACTCTCCCACAGGCTGTTTTCTCTTCAGTGGCTTGTTCCAGCCAAGGCCCTTCTTTAAGAGAGCCTACTGAACCCTGTAACTATAATATGCTAGAACTGGGGTGCTTTGTTTCCTGAAGGCACTTTGAGAACTGAATGGACTTTGGAAGTTCCCAGTGTTTGACCATTACCCTGATGTGATGATCACAATGGGTGCATCATTGTCACATGATCTCGTTTGTTGATGAAAATAAACAGAGAATGGTTTTCAAGAACTATTTTCAATGCCATGGTTTGTCATAAAACAATAAATATAAAAACCTTTGGTGTGCCTGCCAACTTTTCACTCCATATCTGAGGATGGTGAGGCCCTGGCTGCACTCTCTCTGCAAGGAAGGATAAAACTTGTTATTTGTACTGTATTGGACTTTGCGTCCCAAGTCATCACATTGCTTATGATAGCTACATGTGAAGTCATTGTTTTTGTAATTACAAGAGCAAAACAGTGCCATTGTGAAAAGGGTTTATCTAAATAGTATATGTAATATGAAACTACTAATGAATAAAACCAATATAGAAATGTAAACTTTTGTGAAAATAGTCTGTACCCTTTATATTTTCTCATTCTAAAGTTTACAATGTCCATCACATCTAATAACTCAAACTATTGGACAGATATCTATACTTTTAAATCCTACACTTACAGCTGAACAAAGTGTGGTCTCTTTCCCCTTTATCTGTGGAAAAGCTTGAGTGAGCCAGAACTTGGTCTCCTGAGGAGGAAGATAACAGACAAATCCTCAGAGAAAAGAGACCATGGAAGCCCAGTATAAATAAAGAGCAGAATAGTCATGCTGTTTCCTTTCAATGGCTACTAAAGAACTGTGCTCCTGGGATCATTAATTCATATATTAATATTAATAAAATACATTCCTTTATTGCCAGGACTGTCAGAAACAGCTAAAAATACGACACAGCCAAACCAATAGTATTCTTTCAGACAATAAATAAAAAAGATAATATTCTATGTAATTAAGAAGAAAAGTACTTGGATGATATTTTTCCTTTTGCATGATTAG